TCAAATGTAGTCACACTTTGGATCTTTTTGTACTCTCTGCCATGATGCGAGTCTCATTCTGTACTGAGCCGGAGTTGGTGTGTGTGTGTGCGTCTCAGAGTAAAGCACGACTCCGCCCCTCGATCAAAGACAGGCATAGAGACAGAGATAGCTTTGGAAGGCTGCTATTTTCCGCTGAGATCTTCGGACTTCTAAAGTACCGACAGCAGAACCGTTAACTCCGGACCGCATCAACACTCGGGTATTTTACTCATTTGGAACCGGTTCCTGTTGAGAACAGAGTTTCGGGGGGCCTCCCTAATTGTCAGACAATTCTGATGACAATCCGAGTCTGTCGGTGGCCAAAACAAGCAGTTTAAGTGCACGTACTCGATGGTGAGGAGTTACCCCGAGAGATTACATTACAGCCCGCGATTTAGAAAACCATTGTCCCCATTAGTTACTTAGACACAAAAACATAAGACAACAGGGTCCAGGTTGAAAAATACCAAAGTTTCCCTTTGTTAGTGACACCGATCCAGAGACGTGTCGACCCAGAAGGTTTCACTCAGAGAGACAGTTTAACTTTAGGGTCTCCACTCCATGGACAAATCCATAATATCGATCCACGGGAGTGCTTCAAGTTTCCTGTTTAATTATTTACCAGCTCAGATCATCAATGATTGACAGTAAACACATATTATAAAAGTAGCAGGTCAGGCTTTAGCTGCTTGTTTCTTTTATACAGTATATACTGGAGGGCCATTGGTAAATTGTTCTAATTCATGGTTGGAATAAGAAAAAAACCATAAACATTTGATTTTATTATAACCCTGATGTTGCTTTACACATAAAAGAATGATCCTAGTCACTTCCACACAGTGAGGCATACAGCTTCATAATCCAACACTGGTATCGGATCAGAACTCCAAAACCAAAGCACAGGTATCAGTATCGGTATGTGGACGGAAGAAGTCAGATCGGTGCATCACTAAACTGGTACGTTCACTTTAAAGTGTTATAACCTGAATTCATGTACACCGACATCAGAAACATCTCCTGCTCTTCTGGCCTTGTTGTATATTTAGCCATGAATTTGTCCTTAACAAAGCCCGACCCTGTTCCTGAAACGCCTTCCTTAAACTTGGCTGGGCTGCTCCATAAAACACTGGACAAAGCAAATAGAGAATATATCAGTTAAGGGTGAGCAGCTCCGTCACTGCTCCGGTGTGTTTGAACCCTTGTTTCTAAGAGGACATCGGCTAATTCCTTCCAGATGACCACTCCCCCATTAACAGGGACGTGTACTATAACACAACACATCACAATCTTTCCATCAAACTAACGCATTTGAAGTAAAATATGTGATGACGTGGTGCATTTTGGAGTGTTCACAAATCCTGTGCTTTTTCTTTTCTCCATACAAATAATTTTTCCTTCCCACAATCCTTGCAGTCCATATTCCCCCACACGTATGAGAATAACCGGTAAGTGAATCACTACTGAGAGACATCTCAACGCGTTATCCTGCCATCCAAATATTTGCTGAAATATTGGATGGAAGAGTAAACACACCAGGTAAACACACACACACACACACACACACACACACAAAACCATTGCCGGGAGTTGGAGTGGGCCTTCAGTGGGGTAAAATAAATTCCATGAATTCCTCTCTCTGCTCAGTGACCTCCTTACCCTCTCTGTGCATGCTCTCCATTGTACTCGTCTCATGACGTCCCCTGACCCACCTGCTGCCTCCTCCCGTCTGTCTCTACCTCCACTGAGAATCAGCTGATCAGCTCACTGTGGCTTTTCCTCACATCATTGGCTGTAGAATGTTCTTTTACTTTGCAGCATGTCAGTGGTGTTTGTCCAATTAGGTGAACAGTGAGGGGGCCGCTGAATTTCCATTGAAACCACCAGCTATGCGTTTAAAAAAGATGTTATACTCCTGCAAAGCAGACGCGATGTGGAGAACTCCAATAGTTATCCAACAATCTTTGGCTGAAACATATCAGGGCCATTGTAGGTAAAAAAAAGAAGAAAATGATGGAGCCGAGTGAGGGGGATAATATTCAGAGAAAGAAAACACCAAGATTAAAGTTGGAAATGTAAAAAAAATTTAAAATAATATGGGACATTCCCTGAGATTTTAAAACCATAAATTTGCGAGGGAAAATAATCTCTAGTTTCAAGTCTTCTTCAACACAGCATGATGTTCATTTAGTAAATGATGGTCCATTTAGTGTCAGATAGACCATAAAGCAGGGTATGCTTTAGGGCGGGGCTAACTTGTGATTGACAGGTCGCTACCACAGCGTTGTCCGGTCCGGGAGTTAACCGTGTTTTAACCCTTTCACAGTGTGTTTTCAGTTCATGAAAGTTAATAGTAACATGTTGGTTGTTTAAAAATCTCTCATTCAGCATTCGGTTGTACTTAGCTCCACCCGCTTGTGTCACTTCTGGTTGCAAAAAATCCAAGATGGCGCCTTGAAGCTTCAGAACAGCTGTCCACAAACCGATGGGTGACGTCACGGAGACTACGTCCACCTCCCACCCACACATTCTTTAAGCCCCTATTCTGATTTGCCGTTGCGGCTGGTGTGACCCCACCGCTAGTTTTGTTCTGAATACAACCAGTTTAAAGCAATGTCTCTTCAGAGTCCATATGCTTATGATAATGTGGTGATTCTGGACTAAAATCAACCAGCATTTCCTCATCGCTCAATCAGATTGCAAAGTTTAATTTGATTAAGTCGTCCACTGTAGCACACGACAAGTGGTGCTATCTGTGATGAGGGTGATCCAACCTCTCAAAGTGAAGCGATGTGGTTCCCTCATGAAAAAAACAATAATGTCTCATGCGTAACTTTATGACTTTGTAATCTCAGAGAACATCCATGTTTGTTTCTTGTAAATTTGTGACTTTTGTCTTGTACATTGACCACTTTAATCTCAGAGTGTCTGAGTATTTTTCTACAAACAATTACAACTTTAATCTAATATCCAGAGAGTTTTTCCTCTCCGGATATCACCCCCCTCCCCCGGGGCTCCGTGATCTATTTATTTTACACATGCGATGGCTTTGATCCGCCTGCCGTAGAAAACACGTGGACGTCTTGCTCACTGTGTAACAAACCATTTATTTTGTTCTCACCTTGGGCCTCTGCCAGGTGACTGTGCCGATGCGGTTGCTCTGGTAGAACAGAGACTGGTCGGCTGTGGGGAACAGGGGGTCTTCAAACAGACGGCCATTCTGCTGACACTGCCTCCTCAGGGCAGAGAAGGACTGGCCCTCGTATGGGACCACCATCCCCCTGCACAGACAGAAACCGACCATTAATCAGGGCTTTTCCCCCAATTCTGACAATATATTCTATAATTAAAAAACATTAAAAAGGCTCCTACTGTATATTCAAATATAACATATACAATGCAGTACAGCCAAACTGAAAGGCAGGGCTGAGAATAAACAGTGTCGGTTATTTTGGAAAAAGACACACAGTCACACACACAAGATAGTGTAACACACATTACATAAACAACCCCGCCAATCATGTGACAGGATGACAAACAGTGATGTCTGAGTACAGATCAGCAGCAGAGCAAACACACGAGGAAGGTTTGATGCGGCAGCATTAAGGGACGGATCTGCTGAGTGAAGTCCTGAACAGCAACTTCCTGTCTGCCGAATGAAGTGGACAATGAAAGAAAGAGGATGTGGTGTGTGTGTTTTATTTTAAAAGGGTCTGTTTACTTAAAAGAATGCTGGTTTCCTCCTTATGGTTTGGTTTACTGACTTAGTGCAACGCTCATTAAATATTCAGCGTATTTCAGATCTTGAGCAGCAGATAAAGAACGTGACTGCTCAGCAACACATACAGTAAGTAACAGTAGAGCGTGTTAGTAAATGAAATGAATTACGCTTGTATGTTTTTGGAGCATTTTACTAATTTGAACAAGACACCGAACTAATCTTCAAATCCATTCCCTGGTGTTTTAGTCAAACTCTATATTTCACCGTCCAGTAGCCGTCAACACAAACAGCCAGACATGATGCACGGTGTCACAGTCCATCGGTTGGTTAATGGTGACAAAGAAATCTCCCCCTGGTAACATTTCTGTAATGATGTCAGCGCGGCTCACAGGTCTGATCTCGAAGCCGTTACACTGATTAAGATCACCGTTAATACTCAAAGACAACTAACCCAGTTTAGGACAACGGCAGCGTGAGAACTTTGCTCTGTTAGAGAGATTCTTCTCACACTCACAGCTCATTGATGAATGGTTTTCTGTAATTCAAACCTTCCTTCACATCGTTTGACTTTTTGAATTCAAACCAACTAAAAGCGGCTGAACTAGCCTGGAGCTACCTGTGGAGTTCAGACTTCGCTCTGCGGTGGTGGAAAGTCAGCAGTTACTCAACTACTGTACTTCAGTGCAAATTCAAGATACTTGTACTTCACTTGAGTATTTAATGCAACTATAAACTTCTACACCCCTACTGTACATACATCCTCATACTGCCCAGTGAAAACCACATATCTCCAGATGTGTTGATGCTGAGTGTTTGTGATAAACTGAAGGATGAAGTGTTCCTTTATGTGTTCATGATAATCCTCCTACTTCTTCATCTAAATAAACTCTTTAAAAAGCCTCTTGGATCAGCTGGAAAATGCATCGTCACAAAGCTGAAAACAGGACTGTTGATCTGTTTAGAGATACGAGGTTCTCACAGGACAGAGACGCTACAAACATGATGATCTTATAGAATACGATGCATTGATGTAGATTAAACTAGACATCAGGATATAAAGGAGTTAAAACATCTACAGCAGTGAAATGTAACATACACATTAATGCAGTAATATTAATGTAGAAACATAATAGTAACTTTACTGCACTCTCTTTTCATAATTTAGGTACATTTTGCTGATAATACTTGCATACTTTTACTTCAGCGAGGCGTGGATTTGAGGACATGTACTTGTTTTGCTACTTTTACTTGATTACAGGATCTGAATACTTCTTCCACCACTGAGGATGTGGGTTACCATGGGGACCGGTGGGTAATTCTATCAGAGTCAATTAAAGGCACTAAACACAGAGAGGAGACAGAGCTACACGTTGTATCTGCTCGCTGGGCGCTTTCAATAAATACTAGTTTGTCCTTTGTGATGCTGAGGCTCGAAAAACACAAAGAAGCAAATTGTCTTGCAAGAAAAAAAACATCCTGGTTAAAAATAAAACAATTATCAGACACTCATCACATAACCTAAGACTAATAAAACACTATCTGCTTACTAAAGTCAAAAATAAATAAAGTATATATCGTAGTAATGAGGGGGCGATTACCCTTTAACACTGGGGCAGTCCTGTGGGTTTAAGGAATCAAACAGAGGATAGTAGAGATGAGAACACTGTGAAAGGCTGAGAGCTGCTGAGAAGAAACTCAGCTGACCTTCTTCTTCTTCTTCTTCTTCTTCTTCTTCTGCAGACGATCAGCATGACTGGGACATGACTCATCATCAGATGGGGGGAGGGGGACAGTGTGTGTGTTTGTGTGTAAGTGCATTTAATCATACGATTAAAAAAACAATAAAACTAAATGGAACCCTGGCCGAGAGGTCGCCTGTGGAGTTTGCAGTTGTTGTGTGTTTTCGTGACAAAAGGTCATTTGGTCCGTATTTAATATATTGGCCCGACCGGATTATTAGGCTCTGATTTGAGGATGTAACCTTCAGCTTCAGGGTGTTGTGACTATTCAAAAGATGAATAAATACCGACAATAATCACTTGTTGCTGCCACTAAATTAAAAAACAACATAACATAGAACCGTCACCACTGCTGAAAGCCCACGATTACCCAACTCTGGTTGTGACCAGTTGAACTATTGTCAACAACACAGTTAACTCCTCCTTCAAGCTGCCTGCAGCAGTACCAGATATACTTCCTAACATGACTGTATGATAACTTCATAATGAAGTTACAATCTGAGCTGTGCGGTCTGAGCATAATGAAGACGCACAGCTCACTTTTGAGTCATTTGAAATAAGAGTGAATACACCAAACCTTTAAGGATCACCGGTGTTGATCCACAGGTTTGACTATTGAGTAAGAACAGAAGGTAGAACAGCCACACATGGGTGTGGTCTCATGTTGGAACCAACAGGCATGCCACCACAGATAATGTGTCACAACTGAACAACAATGCAGATGTCAAAACATCACATTTTATGACGCATGACATGAACATGTTTGATGTAGACAATGCAGATGATATGATGCGTGTCTGCTTGTTTCACTTTGCTAGAATTAACTTTAAGACACATTTTGTAGAAGAGTTTCATGTGTTTTTCAGCTGTGTAAAGTAAAGTAAAAAGAATTACACCGGAAACTAGCGGGAAAATCCCTTTAAAGTAAAAGTACCACGTCTGTCACAGAAAAGAGAACACAGTATTCACACACAGTACTTTTACACTTTTACTCCACTTCCTCTATCTCAAAACTTTAGTTACTTTGCAGATTCAGATTGTCAATGCAAAATATAATCAACAAATAACTATCATATCTTTTGCAGATTAAGAATAAAAACTCTATTGATCCTAATTCACAAACTACCCAACTAAAGTTAGCTGAAATTAGCCCCAGCTTCAACACGTGATGTACACACGAATGCAAAAAATATTAAATCCAATAATTGATTATTATTCTGAAATGTGCCATTCTGCATATAACACGTACTATTACTTTGGGTGCTTTTAGTATATGTATTTTGAGGCCAAAGCATGACTCTTGCTTGTAACAGAGTATTCCTAAACTTTAGTATTGCTACTTTAACTGAAGTAAAATATCTGCAAGTACTTCTTCCAGCATTGTGTAGGATTCACAAACCCTCCGCACAGCCTCCAACATAACGCGTGAAAATAGCATTTTATTTTGAAGGTTGTTGCCGGAAACGCATTTGTTTTTACGCCAGTTAGCTTGAAAATGGCCAGTATTTTTTATTTTTCACAAGATTGTTCATCTTCTGTGAAGAAGGCGGAAAACGAAACTGTGAACATTTTATATCCTGTTTTACTGTAATAATTTTCTTCTGTTTAGTGTTGTCATCTAACTCTACCAACTGACGTTTAACAAATATTTTCTACGCGCAATTTGTCAAAGTTAGCGTGTGTAAAATTCAACTGAACGACGGCGGTTAAAATAAACTATCTTAACTTTTCTGACGTAGAAAACAGACAGTTTAATGACGGTTAGAGTGAGCTTTTCCAACCAGACTTCAGGTGAATGAAAGCAGTGCTGAGTTAGCTTCAATTATTTAAACCTTACCTAGAAAAATGTTTGGTTAAATTTCAGCTCCCCGGGTGGCTCACGCGGATGTTCTCTCCCTCTTGTCCCGGGAGGATTTTCGTTTTTTTTTGTATTCCCTCTCTCTGACGTCAAGCCGGTGATGTGCGGAGCTTTTCAGCCGTAGTTAAGTTAGTTGACAACCGTGTCTCCAGCCTTCAGATGAGTGAAGGCGGGTTGGCGCCCCTCCTGTGTGTGTGTGTGTGTTTTACTATGGTGCCTTCAGGTGCGGTGAGGACAAATTGGAACGACTCAGTGCTGTATTGGCTCTCGTTGCTAGTGATAGAAGAAGTATTCTGATCTTTTTAAAACTAGCAATACGTTGTAGAAATACTCAGTTACAAGTCAAATTCCTGCATTCAAACTTAAAGTACATCATCGAAATGTACTTAAAGCACCAAAAGTAACCATTTGAGAATATTATATATGTTGTTATTGCATTTTAATTAATGATGCATTCATGTTTTCATCACTTTAATGTTGCAGTTGGTAAAGGTGGAAATCCTTTTAACTACCTTAAATACTGCTTAACCTATATTAATAAAGGCGCATCATAACGTATTAGTTGACTTATATTTTATATTCATCATCTAAATCTGATAATTAACTAAAGCTGTCAAATAGACATGAAAAAATACAATATTTGCCTCCAAAATGTATCATAGAAAGTGTATATATGTTAGTATATTGTGAGTTCAATTCCTTGTAAGTTTCAACATGCTTGATTCAGAGTTGAAAGATGATTAAGATTCTGTTTTTTGTTGTAGATCCAGCATTAATTTAACCAATGCAAATTATACAAAGTGGTATAGTGTTCATGATACAGTGCCTTTACTCACAGTGCTTTAGAATAAATAAACATCTGCAAATCATTTAAGAAAGGATACCACAGACCGGATAATGTCTGTTCAAAAGAAGCCTACACTCTAGAAACAAAGAAAACACAGGAGATACAGCACACAATGTTTTTAAACATAAACCCAGAAATATAAAAGCACCTTTTACATTTTATGACAGTCAGGAAGGATATTTCTTTGTCAAGGAAAGTTCCCTTTCCGAGCTTTAGTAATGCACCACCGACCTCTGGTGGTTGCTGTAGTAATTACAGGAGTAACTGTTCCATGTGTGAAACCTGATACCAGTACAACATATAATATACTACTGCTACTACTACATACAAATGTATATTCATATCTCACCCCACTGCAAACCAGCAGCATGATTGTATAATATTACATGATATACATAATAACCAAGTTTTAATACCCTACTATTTTAGTGCTTGCTTATTCCTAAATATATATTTTTTTAATTTAAAATTTTTAAATTAGGATACGTATTTTTTGATTTTGGGGTGGACTGTCCCTTTAATGAAACAAGCATCAAATAACAGAAAACCTGGGCCAGGTGGTATTCCTGCAAAGGTTTACTGGTTGTTTTTTGGTCGGCTTTGGAAAAATATAATGATGCAGCCATGTCTGCACTATATAACTGAGGAGTACTTAAAGGCAGCATCATATATACACAATGTACAGGGACTGGGTGGGACGGGATGTCAGTATCGGGGCCCTAGCTTGCCATGCTAGCTGAATGGCCCTAGAGATTTTGGACCATTTGGACTGAAATATCTCAACTGTTGGATAGAGTGTCATAACCGGTAGAGCACAAGATGCTCTAGATTGCCTAATGGTGCTTAAAACAGAAGAGGACAGCAGCATTTTAATAGATTTATAAGAAGTGGATGTCAAAAAAAAAAGAATACAGTGAAAATCCTGACACATAATGTGTAAATAAAAGACTTCATGAAATAAAATTGTGGCTGCAGTTCTCAGGAGGCGGAGCCTCTTCTACCAGGGTGTGCACAGGTGTGTTGCACACAATGACTGGAATGTGATTGTTTTTTTTCTTTACCTGCCTTTCCAGTTGAATTCTGGGTGTTCTGATGACATAATGTGTACACTGCATAGATATGAGTGTGCCCATACCTCTTTTATCTGCATAATTCATATTCTAAAATATTATTTTTCAACTCACATGCTCTCAAATTTAGAGATTTGAAGGACTTTAAAACTGCACGATTAATGTATGAAGTAAAAACATAAGAAACTTCCAAACTATATATTATTTACACATATTATTTAGGAATTTGCATGTTTACAGAAACAAGGATTGGAACAGTCAAGAGAGTTCATTTGAGGAATGTTTTTTTAAACATGAAACACTTAAAAAACAACACAGTCAACAAACATAAAGCTGAGGTATGAATACTAGTGTATGAATTTTTGTTTGGGACTTTTTGAGTATACATAATACACATATATTTTATTTTGTTTCTATCTTATTATGCATTTATGAACTTGCTCTGGTTTTTCAGTATTTAAAAATTCACTTGTATTTGAGTAGTTTAAGTTAAAAAATGCAAATAATATAAATAAAAAGTGACCTCTCCAGGCTTTACTGATCACAGAGTTTAACTGGAGGTTGAGAACAGCTGTTGGTCAGAAAACAGGTGGCTTTATAAAAACAATGCCTCTGTGATGCTATTAATCTTTAACATCATCAGAGGAGACGACATCCACAGTGTCATGTGAGGAACTGCACTTTACACTTTGCCAGAGGAGACTGGAACAGCGAGACGTCCATCAGACGATGTGTGATCACACAGCAGAAGGAAAAACACGGCTGCATTTAGAGGAAATTACACAAGCTGTCACAGGTAAATATCCCAGACTCTTGAGGGCTCACACCCTCATACTTTTAACAGTAAGACTTCAGAGTTGAATGTATGATGAGAGACAGTTTACATGATTGCATACTAAAAACATCATATGACAGATCAACAGAACATAATGGACTCTACTCCTCATGTGACTTATTTGCTCAGATTCAGATTCAAACAGTTAACAGTTTAAGGTACATTTATTTATATTGACTTTTTTTTTTGAATTTTGATTTTAAATTTCTCTTTAAAATGATTCAATCCCTCCAACAGTTACAGCATCTTATGGTCACCTATAGTCCACTGTTAGCACACTTAAAGCTGCAACGTGTAATATGTAGCCACATGCTCCAAACAGATAGGGGGCAGCATTTCACCTCTGCTCCAGGGTCCACACTGTCTAAATGTACAGTCATCAGTTATATCAAAATAAAACTCATAACTAACAGCAGGGCACAAGAACTGAGCAGGTCAAAATAACAGTGCTGTCTTATGATGTGTGGCGTTGGCCTGTAGTTTACAGTAGCCATCTGTGTGGTTACTGCGCCGCCAGACGGGCGCCGTACGGAACATATAAGCATTGCTAGCTTGTTTGTTGGGCTCAATCCAAAGTGGCTGAAAATGAGAAAAAATACTAATTTTCAGCCAAGAGCACAAAAACTCAACTAGCAGTAACAGCACCTCAGCACATTAACAGAAATACAGCGCTCTTGTAGTGCTACGGATAACCTGAGGGGATGAACGCTCGCTTACAACGCATCAATGTTTCTTTCCTGTGACATCTTCAAAGTGAATGTTCAGGCGATATGTTTAGTTCTATAATCGGACTTTTAGGGCTCTGCTATTGATATAAATGACTAAGCCCTTTTCAATGTGCCACAAGAAACGCTGAATAAAAGTTCATAACAGCGACTTCCCGCAGAAGCTCTGGCCTAGGGGCCCCCGGGGGCCCTTTTGAATGTTGTGTTTACAAATGGACAAATCCTGCTCCTTCTGCCTTTAAGTACTCAGTATGCTATTTGCAGAATGGCCCATTTTATAAAAATATATATTATAGAATTATAAATCTTGATTCATTGAGTTTTTCAATGTTGCAGCTGGTAAAGGTCATTCTAACTTAATATACTGCTGGGTAGCTTAACCTTCGGTAATATATAATGATATATTAGTTTATTTATATTTTGTATTAATAATCCGAATCTGTAAAGTAACTTAAGCTGTTAAATGTAGAGGAGTATATAGTACAATATGAACCTCTGAGATGTAGTTGAGCAGAAGTAGAAAGTAGCATAAAATGGAAATACTTAAGTACAAGTACTTCAAGATTGTACTTTAGTACTGCACTTGAATAATTGTACCTACATTCCACCACATAGCTCTGCTATGAATCCAGCTGTCACTGAGTCATTTACAGCTCGTGAGCCATAAAAACACACCTGACTCTGGTTTCATCTGCAGGATCAAAATGTTAACCAGGTGGTTATCTCTCACGGCCCTTCTGGTTGCCTCAGCAAATCCAGACAGAGCAGCTATTGGCCCTCTGACTGTAGCACCAACCCGCCGAGTCAAAGGCCATCCAGAGGTAGAGCTGACTCTGAACTGTGGAGACGGAAAGAACGCAGGTCAGTGAAGAGGGTCGGACAGAGTCCTGCCTCCACACCTGAGACTAAATCTATGTCCTTTAATTCACCTGAACAATCCACTCAGTATGAATACAAGATGTCCTCTGTTCCACTGAATGATTATACAGGAAGATGCATTTCAAATTCAAATCTATCAGATTATGATATAAGGAACAACTACAGTGAAATAGGCATGACACACTGTATTAGTAATGACGATATCTAGACCAAATTAAAATGACATACATGACACTTATGTTTCGTCAGGAATGACGTCCTAAATATATCATAAATACAATTTATTATCTTTACAATACAAGTGTCGTCATGCTAAATATCAGCAGAGTGATACACTGAAATCTGTAAAACAGCTCATGTAGTCACTGTAGTTTGTAATAAACAACTCAAACAGGAGGAAGTAGTGCACTTTTTGGGGACTCTATTTAGCAGCGGATTAAACCTCACCTGTAACCGTCCTTCTTTCATGTGCAGGTGTGGTCCAGTATTGGCACACGCCCTTTGGAGACCTCCAGACCCCCGGTTCCCACGGGAAACCGGACCCCGTCTTTGTGCAGCGCGTCGGGAGCCTGACGATCCCCAACACCAGCAGCCTACACAGCGGCATGTACTACTGCCTCCTGCGGGACACGGGGGGAACTACACTGTGGTCGTACGAGCTCCATGTTGACAGCGAATATAAGCGAAGCGATACGTTCAGGTTCAGGAGGGATGTTGGGTCCCCGGAGGAGAGGCAGGCGGGAGTCTCAGACGGTCAGTTTGCGGGAGCTGTGGCGGCTTCAGTGCTGTTGACGTTTGTGGTGGGCTTCAGCGCTGGAGCTCTGACCAGGACTCCGGTTCTCAGGTGCGTTCAGGCCCCCATACATCCCAGCTTTTTTATTCAAACCGGGATCAGACTCACGAAAAATCTGGCGACACACTGGTTAAATCATTTTTCAGATTTTACGTCGGTAAATGCTCAAAACTGGATGTTCTATTCCCAGCACTTGAATGTTCACAGATGACGGAACACAGAAGAGTCTGCTAATTGACTTTTAAATTGCGCTGAAATAAATGTAGACCAATGGATGACAAAAAAATAAAATAGGTTCAAGTAACTGACAGAACAACATTGGTATGGTTAGTCTTTGGAGTCCTGTCTACTTATGATACAGCCATCTTATTTAAAAGACAGTGTGTAGCATTTTTGGGGATCTGTTGGTATAAATGGAATATAATATTAACAAGTATGTTTTCTTTAGTGTATAATCACCTGAAATTAAGAATCGTGTTTTCGTGACCTTTAGAATAAACTCATATCTACATAAGGAGCGGGTCCCCGTCATGTAGCCAGCCGCCATGTTCCTACAGTAGCCCAGAAAGGACAAACCAAACACTGGCTCTAGAGGGCCATTTGCGGTTTCACGACGGCTACCTCTGCCCTACACGCTTGGCACGCAGAAGTTTGTTTGCAATCTGCAACCTCACCGCTAGATGGCGCCAACTCCTACACACTGGCCCTTTAAACCTGTGGTATCTAGTTGGAAAGGGACTTCCTTCTCTATTACAGCCGCAGTTCTGATTAAGACTGGAAAGATGGCTTCATTGCCAGGAAATACTTTGGAAAGCCAATGAGGTCATTGCTCGTCTCCTTCTCCCATGCTGTTCTATGTAGTTTTATATCCCCAGCTGGCTTTATAAACGCCGCTCTATGTGCCTGCTCATGTGGCTATTTACACTTGAGAAACGTAAGGAAATACTAATCAATTATTTCTTCCCAGTTTATTGAATACAAAAGTTCAAACATCTGTGGACGATGTCCTTTGCTGTATTGTAATGAAGTAATATAGCCGACAGGCAAAAAAAAGTGATGAATAATGACCTCGTCAATTTTCCGTATCTATGTATTAATGTATCTTTAATGCAAGATGTGTTGACTCCACCGTTTCCTCTTTAGGTGTTTAGGGGCGGTCACTACAAGGTTGCGATCACCACGGCAACAACGCTGCCAAACTGACACGCAGGAGCATGGCTCTGAGGTCACCATGACAACCCTGCTGCCCACGTACGACAACCAGGCCTTTAAGATGGAGCATGACAACGATGACTCTGCAGATTGTGCAACCGCAGAGACGACGACCTCACCTCCCCCTGCCAAACCTCAGAGAAGCTTCCGGCAAAAACGACAGGAGGCGGCGCAGGACACCACGGCCTATCTAGAGGGATGTGACTACATGGAGGAGGAGGCAGGAGGAAGTCACAAGGAAAGGAATAAAGGGTGTGATGGGGAGGTAGAAGGAGAGATATATTTGGAGGATGGTGGGAGTCAAAGTGAAACAGATGACAAGTGCAGTGGAGACATAGAGGAGAAAGATGGAAGAGAGAGCAAGGAGGAGTATGAGGGGTGGAGACACGATGAAGAGGTGGAGGCGGCAGGTGAGCAAGAGAACAGGAGCAAGGAGGATGGAGAGGAGAGGAAGTGCAGAGGAGAAAGGGAGCGATCAAGAGGGGGTAAATGACGGAGAGAAGAGGAGCAAGGAGGATGGAGAGACAGACATTTGCAGTGAAGATGGTGAGACAGGCAGTAGCAAACAGGAGGAGGGAGGGGGAGACAGGTCGTCCTCCCCGGGCCGCCGTAGCCGCGTCATCCGCCTGTACCAGTACGACGAGGACGGCCGGCGATACAGTCACCTTCCAGACGCCGAGCCGGGCCCGGCCACGAGGCTCAAGCAGCGCTCCCTGTCACTGACGCGCCTCAACGCCATCATGGCCGCCGCCTCAGCGGGGCCGCTGGACACGAGCGGAGAGGAGAGGCCACACTTCCACATGGAGATATAGACCCTCCAACAGCTGACGTCCTCAAAAATAAATGCCCCAACATGACGTCACCATTACGACAGCATCTGGATGATTCACCATGTGACTGAACCTCTGCACAGATGTTCTTCAATCATATAGTGGCTTTCATCCTTTCAGGGTTCAGGGTCAATTATCAATACGATCCAGCAGGGCCTGTTTCATACCCTCGGGTGTTTTCAGTTTGTTCAATCAACTCTGAATTGAGCTTCGATTCTGTGATTGCTATGCAACAGGTAAACAAAAAGGCCACGCCTCCATAGAGATACTAATGTATGTACATGTACAGTGTTCACCCCCTTGGAGTTTTGTTGCATTGAAACCTGGAATTAAAATGGATTTATATTTGAACTTTATGTAATAGAGCAACACAAAATAGTCCAAATTGGTTTAGTGAAATAAAAAGTATTTTCTAATAAATAAAAAGATGAATTAATTTTAATAATGACGCCCGTAAATAAGATTTGGTGCTACAAATTATCTTCATAAATCACATAATTAGATAAATAAAGTCCCCATTTGTGTGATCTAGGGTTTGTTAAAGAAAAGTTCCCCTCATCTCGCGGTTAACCGAGGGTTCTGAAACGGGGCTCAGCTGGCGCTTCATGAAGTCTTCTTGAGGAAGCAGATACTGCATTACAAGTTACCAGGAAACAAGAGTGTACTTAAAGTGTTATACCAATTACTACGTCATACTTCCATTTCCTTTTTATTACTGTGAAAACATCTATAAACAAGACACAAAATGGAAAAAATAGTTATTAAGAAAACGTAAATTCCACAACTCTCCTCTCCGTTCATTTTTTTGTGTTTGTGTTTTTATCTTAAGAATATTTTCTTTTCTCAAAATTAACACCATAAAAGTGACTCAGAGAGAGAAAGGCATGTTCCCACATGGGGATGATTCACTAGTCCATATTTGTGTGCGAGTTGTTAAAGTTTGTCAAAGTGAGATCTCAAACTGCAGGTTTTTCCCTTTTCGCTCAAACAATACAGAGTTCCTGCAGCGTTCTGTGGTTTCTGTTTTCTCTCCCCTCTTCTCCTTTTTTTGGTGTTGTGACTTCATCCGCTACGATGCCGACCAAGTCTTCTGCCACTCCACAAACTCGTCTAGCAGCACTGGCCCTGTGGACAAAACAACAAGGACATAGATAATATTAACATAGATCCTGCACGTTTCAATCTGAGAAATCATGTAGCAACAGTTACTCTAAAAACATACAAATAAATCACTCTTACCATAGTGATCATCATTTATTCACTTCTCTGTACTATATATTGTTTTCCACAAGTCATATTCTAACAGCACTTGAACACAGCATGAACTGGTCTCTAAATATAAAAAGGTGGTCAGTGATTCCACATCTACAGAATGGATTTGTGAAACTTGTACCAGCAATTATCACTGTAACTATAGTTACACTTTAAGTCCGTCTTGCACTTACTAAACGTCATGGCAGTGCTGACCTTTGAGGGAACCCAGAGAACCAGAGTCTAAATGGAGGAAGCTATCATATTAGCTGTGTTGCATCATGCAGTGTCGTATAACTCTTGCTCTGCTGAAGGAGAGGCAACACCAACAGAGATCTCCTCCTGCATCCACAACTAACGGCAGCAGCGGGGTCCAAAGAAATGCTAGCTCCCAAAATATATCAAATGTAAAGATCTTATTATCTCTGTTAAAAGAAGAAAAACATCAACATAACAACTGAAACCTATGAACAGTAGTCTATCCGCTCTAGGTGTAATGTAACCTCTTAACACAGAAGCATAAATCCATCTTACCAAGATTCCAGCACCTTCTATTTTTCCAGGAACAGGAGGCAACATTCAATCCTGAAGTGTCTTAAAACGTGCATTCTCTCTCCTCACCAGCAGGGGGCGACTCCTCTGGTCGTATAGAAGTCTATGAGAAAATGACTACTTCTCTCTTGATTTAATACCTCAGTAAACATTGTAAACATGAGTTTATGGTCTCAATCTCTAGTTTCAAGTCTTCTTCAATACAGCATGATGTGCATTTAGTAATTAGTAAATTATGGTCCATTTAGAGTCAAACAGACCATAAAGCAGGGGGTGCTTTAGGGCGGGGCTACCGTGATTGACACGTCACTGTCCGTGTTTTGTTCCTATAACTTCAACCCTTTCAGAGTGTTCTCGGTTCATGAAAGTTAATGCAACAAAAAAACCGTCTTATTCAGCGGCCACTTGTACCGAGCTCCACCTCCATCATGTCACCCCTGGCTGCAAAAAGCCAAGATGGCGACGGCAAAAAAATGCCAAAATCTAGGCTTCAAAATGACAGTCCGCCAACATCACGACTACGTCCACTTCTTATACAGTCTGTGGGCCGGGTGGGGGGATTCATTTGTCAGTGCCATTTCCTGGTGTGACTAAAGCCTCGGTGAGGACCTGCTGTGTTAGCGAGTCGCTAGTAAACTCACAAGCTCCGTCTTCATCGTAGTTACTGAGGTCTGTGTTGATGGTCCTGCTGAACTCCAGAACGTTATACCACTGGTCCTTGTTCATCCCTTTGTACTTGGACTGCTGGAGGACAGATAAATTGGGGGGGAGGCAGTGCAGCAGGTGACTGAAAGTTGACCATTACTTGTTTTTTTAGAGAAAAATAGTTATTTTGCAAAGAAACTACTGGTGTCCCCTACAGGCCTTTCACAAGATTTCATAACGAAACTAATTATTGAAACTTCTCTCTGATCCGTCCAAACGGGTGAGAGAACAGGGACTTACCTCCAGGAACTGGTGGAAGACTGGGAAGAGTGGCCATGTTGTCTCCAGCAGCAAGGCCAGCATAGATTTAGCCGTGTCCATGTCCAAACTCCTCTGGTCCTTATCCTAAAGACAACAGTGAGTTATAATTCCCATCTCCGTTTTGACTCCTGCTGATGTCACTTTTCTACAGAGCTCTCAGGTAATGTTCAGTATGACTGTTGGAAGAGGCTGCACATTGATTGAATTAAAGGAGTACACCTGCTCATCACTGCAGGTGAGTGGTTAAAACTACGAGAGGACGGGAAAAACGAGATTTTCAGAGGGTGTCTAGTTATTCTTTAAACAAACAAAGGAGAAAAAAACCCAATAAAACCAGTAAACTCACCCTGGCGAAGTCGAAGGCGTATCTGAAGACGTTTTTGAAGACTACAGAGTCGTTGAGCTCACCGCGCAGGTAATCCAGTTTGCTCTGTAACCGCTCCGTGCAGTCACACCTGCAAGTAGGTGAAGGGACACACGCATCACAAGCAGTCACAGCTCAACGGGTTCTTCTTACAGGTCTAATAACCACTAAAGACAGAGGTGTCGGCAGAAATAAACTAAATGACTTACTGTAATAACGTCATTCCCCTGAGCCACTCCTCTTTTGTGAAGAATCCCATACTTGCTGCTTCTAGATGCCAGGCTAGCACCAACATGATGATCTGCGAGAAGAAGAGAGGAGATGCATTTAATCTGTGCAAACGTTTAAATCAAACACTGGTGCATGTGCACGGGGTTCTTCATTTCCTCCACTGTCTCCCAGTGGAATCTCTCTACAGTTTGCAGGGCGGTGGACATGAAGGAGAGTTGAGCACAAAACTAGTTTTGAACACACTCTTGATTTAAATAAAAGCACTCTGGGTGTTGTAAAACCTAATCGCGTCACAGCGTATGAAGCTTCATGAATAAGTTTGAAGTAGGAGTGACTATAGTCCTCAGGTTCACTCTCAACACGACTGACCCTTAGACGCTTGATAAATACCCAGGTGAGGGATAAGTGGACTCACATTCTCTGGTTCCACGCCGATGTCTTCACAGAACTTCTCCATGGCCTCCGGACCGACCACCTTGTCGGGGCCGGCGTACGCCTGGAACCAGGCCAGGCACTTCTTATTGGAGAACAGCTTCTCAACGATGACGGGCCTCGCACCTCGGATCTGAGGTCGGGTGAAACTGCAACGCACACCAGAGCTTTGGGTTCATAGATTACACGACACTTTTAAAATTAATAAATGAATGAAAGTCATACTGATTTTGTCCTTAAATATAAAAAATTGAGGAGAAAAAAGTCCTCTGGAGCTATCAGGAGTTTCTGACAGCTGCGATAAATCAAAGAATGTCTTAATTGTTCACAAGAGGGCAGAGTGGTGGGATGGATCAAATATACGAGTACGCCTTGAAAAACTATGGTAGGGGCAATATTTTTTAACTGGCTACGCATCAATATCTGCCTATAGGTTAATTTAATATGGGCGCCATGTTAACCAATGTTCACACTCGCACGACACCTGCTAGTGTCCCGTAAATAGGTGTCGGTCTCTCTCAAAAGCAAAATTAAACTAAACTGACATCCCTAGAAAACAGTCAACTCAAACTTGTTGAAGTGTTAAGAAAAGGCCACCACATAAGACCCAGTAACACCATCCTGACTGTTACATACAGGTGACTCATGGGATTTCACACATGATAGTGGCGTGGCATATCTCTCTCTCTCACTCTCACACTCTCTCACACACACACACACACACACACACAGTGTGTGTGAGAGACTCTCTCTCACACACAAACCAGAGTGGGTGACATTTCATGCACTGCAGATGGATGCCCAGAGAGGACAGACAGGCATCACTCACTCACACTGTAACTTTGTGTCTGCTTACCTTGTGATTTTACACTTGCGCTCATTATCATCTGCATCAGGATTCTTCCTCTTCTTCTTCACAGGCATCACTGAACCTTTAGTGGGCTTCACTAGCTGAGCTACACATTAGGAAAACCACATGTTGTCAAACACCTCTCCATGACAATACAAGGCAATGATCTATTTAAGGAGGAAGGTCATACCTGTGTACTTCTGGCTGCCTTGTCCATTCAACTCTAAGAGATTCTAGAACAAAAGAAAGACAAAGGTTCCCAAAGGTACACTTTGATAATCCTTCATCCAATCAGAGGCCACAGATTAAGAGTGCAGCTGTGTTCTCACTGTTTAAATGTTGCACTGCATTGGCTTTGTACACCAGGGTGTGCCATATCAAAGTGTTCACAATAACACTGGTATTTTCAATGTTTATAAATAAATAAAAAAAACTTAACATGACAATGGCTCAATTCTGACTTGTTGACATTATGACGACATACCGTTATAAGTATGCCTGAAAGCAAAACTGCCAGCTCGACAAAAAGAATGTATGAATAAAATGAATGAATCTGAATGTGTCAAAATAAATGCATGCATGTGTGTGTGTGTGTGTGTGTGTGTGTGTGTGTGTGTGTGGTCTGATGGTAGGCACTGAGTGGCAAGTGACAGCAGGAGAATAAATAAAACATCTACATTGTGGAGTTAAAAGAAGAGTCAACAGTAGCTTCTTTGTTTAGATATTTACTTTAGATTTGTGGTCAATATCATTTTATTGTATTATTTATATTTCATACCAGATCTGAATCTCAGTTTGTTGTTTACAAACTAAATACGTGATCTTTTTACTGAGTATTTGCAAACTGAAAAATGAATGTTAATATAAAACTACAACACTTAGAATTGTACACAGCTGCTCAAAACTTTGGGGTCACCTGCCACAGCAGCCTGATTATATTGAGTCAGATGTCTGAGAGGACGACTCAATATGTCTGAATGGTCTTTCATGCTTTTATCTTGTAGAAAGTTCTCTTTACTGAGATGTTTTGTTTAGTACATGGAGATCAGAACTCTTTACAACGGTTCAACCAGACTGAGAACAGAAAGAGACAAAGATCCTGTGAGCAGCAGCTGAATAAGAACAGAATAAATCAGTCATTGGAGAAACAAACTGGAAGCTTAACATCAGAATGTGAGCTGATTTAAAACAGGAACAGCTTCCCGTTTCAGTGTCAAGTGCTTCAAAGTAATGTCACCTGTAACAAGCTGATACATTAACAGCTGTTCTGCTTTAGCATAGAGAAGTGTTTGGGGTACAACACTATTCTTTCCTGTCATGTAACACTGTCTGAGACATCGACTATACGCAAGTTTCTAACTATTTCATTCTTCTTCTTTTGTGGCAGAAAGCATGTCAAATGCAAATAAAACATTTGGTGTCTGAATTATACTGTTTTTATCTCCATTTATTGAGGGAAAGTATTTTGTCACGCTATCAAGAGTGAGATTATCACAGAAATACCTTAAATTATATTCATATTATTTTTGGGTCATATTGCCCAACCCCATCGCCCACTACATTAAAAAAATAAACATGACTACTTACAAGCTTGTCCAGCGTTACTGATGACTGAGAGATGGTGCAGACTGTTCCTCAGTGTGGACACCTGAATCAATACAGGCAAGATATCATCAGCACTCAGGGAACATGCTGTACATTACTTATTAAAACCTGGAGGGAAATTGTGGTCACAAGTGATTGACAGCATCTCATTATTAAACATAATTTATAGTCCTGAATTGGCTGCATAAATGTAAACATAAGACTATATTTGTTTTGCTTTAATATTAATTCATCTAAATCTATAAATGGATGCCTGCATTATTTTGTTGCCATTAAGGCTGAGCTGCTACTCCTCCTGGGACACACACACACACACACACTCCAGCCACAACACACTCTTCTTTCAGACTGTCCACAATAGTTGTGGAAGAGCATAAGTGGGTAAAGAGAAAACACCACACAAGTGTTATTATTTTTAAACACAAAAGCGGTTGAATCATTGCTTTAGTACGAGTGAGATGACACACTGTCCAGTTGTTTTAAACCAAGACATTGAAAATGAATCTTGGAAATGAGTATGTAGACTCGTGCTGTATAAAGCAGGTTTAGACACAGAGGCTACCTTCAATTACAGATGTTAGTGAGCCAGCAGCTGTAACAAGTAGGACTCCTTATTCCCCAAATGTCAGCATTTTCTGAGTAATGTTGAATAATACGTTGAATACGTCCGTTTAAACACGGGTTTAACGTGACATTTGGTCGGTTCAAATGCTATTATCTGTAGGAGTAAGTATTGTTCTTTACTTCAGTTTAAGTATTAATACCGTATTGTTTAAAAAAAAAGTAAAGTACAAGTACCTCGAATTTGTACCTAGGTACAGTATTTGTGTGAATGTACTTAGTTCCACCACAGTTCAACGCGGACATTGCGTAGGAGCAAAACAGGGTTTATATAACACAAGTTTATTAGGACGAAGGCCTTCACGACTAGAGTCTGTTAAAACTAAAGACTACGTGCTGTAACATTAACTTGCCGTTAGTAGAAGAGATGGCTCATTTAAAATAATAAAATATGTAAACAAACCCAGTGTTTCCGTTACATATTTCAGTGAAAAATCAGAAGGAATGAGTCAAGATTATTTCTAACGTTCATTCATCACACAACATCGGGCCAAACCTGTGTCACGTTAGTAAAAAGAGGATTGTACACTGTAACGACTCTTTTAACGTTAAGTTACCGTTAATTAAAACGGCTTTGGAACAGTTAGCTTCACACGGCTAACGAGGTTAGGATGACTAGGTTAGGCTATACAACTCGGGACCAGAACCCGCCTCTGGTTGTCGATTAAACACCACAGAAACATTAAATACAACACCAAACATACATTGTTAGTATTACATTATTCTGGGGTCTTCGATGCTAGGACACTTCTTTTGTCTGTTAGCTAGCGGAACACCACGGGTGTCACAGCTAACGTCACACTGCTAACGTTAGCTAGTTTGTCAACACACGCGTCAAAGGCTCACAAACCCACCAGTTAAAGCGAAGTACGAACGAGTTATTTATTTTAATAACCGACAATAGAATAAGTCATTAAAATACGTCCAAACTCTTACCACTTACACTTGGGCTGACAAATCAGTTCCACCTGTTTCTGGTACACCGGGTTACTTCTGTCGCCGGCGTTTCCGGGGAGCGGACGATACCACCGGGGCGCTTTATGGGGGTGTAATGCGAAACAACGTTTCCATGTCTATGGTAGTCTTTGCACTCACACGCTTTTACCAAGGGGAATTAGAAAACAATATTTTCAATCTTATCTAAATAACCGCTAGTAGTAGTAATAGTTCTCCCCACCAGGAAAGCGGTTATAACGTCCGTTAGGTGAAACCGGCATTTCTTTAAAGGAGCAGTCCGTTATTTTTGGCACGTAGCGCTCAGATGTGGCTCAGAGGATGAGACTCAAACGTGATCAAACACACTGGAGCTAAGACATAGGATCATTTAATTAAAGAATAACACTGTTTGACCAACTCTGACGTGTATATGTTTTTCAATGTGTGGGGTGAATTTGTGGAATGCAGAACTCAAGCAAAATACACATACACCAGTTTAGAAAGGTGAGGAAGGAGTGTGTTTCTTTCAGGACTGTGATGTTGTTGTTGTTTTCTCTCTGTGAGTGTTGGGATGGGCACCTGCACCATGATTATGTATTTAAATAGGATAAACATTAAGGTAATGATTTAAGTTATATTTGATTAACAAATAAGGTTAGTAATTATACTGTATATACAGTGGGTACGGAAAGTATTCAGACCCCTTTAAATTTTTCACT